TGATAAACTTATCACGTGATTGGCATGGACTCCTATAAATCCCCGATTAAAAAAATATTTAAATTTGGTCCCTCATTTAATTAAAGTTAAAAATAATCCGTTAAATGAAAAGTAATCCGTCCTTTTAACCACTTATTGTCTTTTACAATCACAAGAATGATGCCTAATTGGTTTGAACTTGGGTTTCAAAGGTCAAAGTGTTTGGAGGTCTCAAGTTCAAATTCAATGGGGGAATAAAAATCCTCTTGTGACTACGAAGGTTCAAATACGATGACTCCGAGCTACCTACAAAGCAGGTGGTAGTTCTGATATTAGTCGGCTCGTATAGCGGGTTTAATATCTAGGTTAATAAAAAAAAATTGCAGGAACCAAAATCATAAAGTCAATTTTAATTGAAAAAAGGTCAAAAAAATATAAATAAAATGACGAAAATGCCTCTCATGTGTCGGAATTTTTTAACTGAGAGAGGGACTATTTTTCTGACTTTTTATCACATATTGTAATTTTAAAATTATAAAGGTGAAAAGTGTTACTTTTTACAAACCACAGGGACCTAATTTGTAGTTTACTCTAAAATTAAATAGGTGATAATGGTAATCATAATCGACGTGGAATGATAAACTTGCCACGTGATTCTCATGGATTCCTACAAATGTGCGATTGCACCACCATTCGCAGCACCACCGGACCACCACTCACACCACCATGTCCATGGCGTCGATTATTTACCGGAAGCTTCACCGGAAATCGAAGAACCGATTCAATTACATACAAGTAAGGTTCGCATCCCCGGCGACGGATTTAAGCAATAACGAAAAGAGTAATCGGAAAATCGAGAAGTTGCTGATAGCGAACAGAGGGGAAATTGCTTGTAGGATTATGAGAACGGCGAAAAGGCTAGGGATACAAACTGTTGCTGTTTATAGCGATGCTGATAGGTATAGTCTTCATGTGAAGTCCGCCGACGAGGCCGTACGAATTGGTCCGCCGCCGGCTCGATTGAGTTATCTTAACGCCTCTTCCATAATCGAAGCCGCCGTCCGTACTGGTGCTCAGGTACGATCAGTTTAGTGCTGTATTTAATTGYATTTTTGTTTTTATCATGGGAAACACTAGTGTTATGGCTTTTGGTTGAAACTGTTTGAGGGGTTGCACACGATTCAAACGAGAATTCGCCTAAAAAAACAAGTTAACATTTACATTGGTGTTACAGTAGATTAAAAGCTCTAGCTCCTGGCTATCAAGTGGCAATGCTTTTGATGAGAAGATGGTTTGCTATGTTTTGGGGATTTACATGATTAGTCGCACCAAAAAGTAAATGAATAGTAGTAGTAGATATCTACATGCTTTGATCGATGAAATATKTTGAAACCATAGCACATCCAAACATGATGATAATGTTCAATGGCACTGCAATAATACCCCAGTAATTACACAAAGATGATCCTTATGAATCAGTTTCTTGTATTCAATTTAACCCCAAASATTTTTAAACAACAGTACCATTGCTATAAGAAAACTACACTCACTTATAACAGAAGCATATAACAGAATTCAGACAAGCCATGGAACTACAGTCATCATGGATGTTACTAATGAGGAGCTGCCGCAGAAAACTAAATTAATAACAGTTCCATGATGACTGTAGTTTCCATGGCTTGTCTGGATTCTGCTATATGTTTCTGTTATATGTGGGTGTAGTTTTCTTGTAACGATTCCCGACGATGACAAGACCCTAAAAAAGAACGAGTTATAGCTGAGATAATCATGTGACAACTCCTCAAGYAGAAAACATGGAGGGTACTGTATATTCGGATATGACTAAAAAAGAGAAGAAAGGAAAAGAAACCATCGATCTATCAAATTCTCTGGCTGTAATGCTTTTCAAAGTCTGATGATCATGCTTAGGCTACCATGACTAGTTAGGGATGAATTTGCAGGTGAATTGAGTATTGAAGTTCGAGTCAATTTACCAACCTTCATAGTCTCATGTATTTTRAATGTCAACTATCAAGTACTTGCAGAAAGAAAAGTATGTAGTCCAATTTGATGTACATGCTGCTACTATTACCAACAACCACTTCCATGTACTGTTATGTTTTTAAGTCATATCGGAACTTGTTTTTAATCTCCGTGTCACAGTTGTCATAAAAATTAATTTCAATATAAGAAGACACATGTCTTTACTTTATGATCATGATTTTAGCATGCTTAGGTTCATGTTTCTATAGGTGAATGGCGGTCTCAATTTCACCATACAGTGAGCTCATGGTTCATTTAGGAGTTGTTTGGTTTAAGCTGTTGAATGAAAATGGGAATGAAAATGAAAATGACAGGGAATGAAATTGGGAATGAATTTTCATTCCCCCCAATTTAACCTGGAATGAAATTTGGGCTTCTGAGGGAATGAGTATTATTTAATATAAAACCAAACAGTTTCTTTTATTTTCATTATCAGTGATTACTGCCAAATAGTTAATACCTATAACCACACTCCCGTTAGCTTATTAATTGTTTAGTTTCCACACATTTAAGGACATAGTTCAGAGTGGATATCCTCTTTTGATAATAGGCTATCCATCCAGGCTACGGTTTTTTATCAGAAAATGCAGACTTCGCTCAACTKTGCGAAAATGAAGGATTCACTTTTGTTGGACCACCTGCATCTTCAATACGTGAAATGGGTGATAAAAGGTACAAATATCAGTAACTTCTTATTCTAGTTCATAATTAGCTTCTTGGTGTACTGTTTCCTGATTAGGTTTGTACTTGTTCATGCAAAAGTGTCATTAAGCAAAGAAGCAAGAGCTTTTCATCCTCTAAATTATAGGGTCATGAAAAGTGAGACWGTATCAATTTGTTGTGTGCCACCGTATATATTTTGAAACCATGGTTTTAAAAAGCGTGTTAGGCGTACGCCTCGAGGCGAGGTGGCCAAAATAGCACCTGAGACGGCGCCTCTCAGGTACGCCTCAATACAGAGGCTAAGTTATTAAAAAAAATGACTGAAACCTTCTCTATTTCTTTTTTGAAAACCTTGTTCTTCTCTAGTTCTCCTAATCCCTATCTGCTACTCGTTTGTGTCCTTCGTTAGTTCCAGTTTTCTCCCGTTTTCTTTGCATTTTCTTCGGTTCACGGGAGTATTATGCATATGTATATGCTGGATACACTTCTTTTATATTTAGTCTCTACTAYATGTCATGGTCACACTTCTACTCCCACTTTGTTGATATTTAATATTTTTTCTTTATGAGTTGTGAGCATATTAATACATACATACATACATATGTTAAGAATAGATCAATATTTTTTTCTTTGTTACTATATCTATATTTCGTGATTGAAAAAACTGTATGTAGATTATTTTGGTAATCTAGTATATATATATATAATATATTGTGTCTAGTACTCAAATGTGAAGAGAGTGTGTGTGTGTGTGTGTGTATATATTTCATATATTTTCCGAGTAGAGCAGTGGAATTCATATTGGTATAAAATATTTTATGTAGTGTATATATTTCTGCCTCGGGGCTTATGTCTCGGTCTGCCTCGAGGCTTACGCCTCGCCTCGTTGAAGGAAAACACCTTGAGGCACGATTCTGCTTTTTAAAACCTTGTTTGAAACTATAATGAGGATACAAGTTTCCTTGGTAGAACTGGTAGCAACACTTTTCTTCCACCCTAGACCCGAGTTCGAATCCGGATAGTGTCATTTTCTTAGGTTTTAGCTTTTAATTTCAGATTTATTATGTTTATGATTTTTTTTTGCAATAAAAAGACTTGAACATAGGACCTCACATATGAAAAACAATGAACTAACCAATAGACTAAAGATGGTTTTGTGAAAAATATCCCTATATTTGTTTTTTACAGTCAAATGGTGCCACMACTTGAAAAAATTTCTAGGTCCRTCTCTATTTTCGATAGACTTGACATTTGTTGTATCATTGTATGGGACTATGGCGAGCGCCACGAGCCATGACCCATGTGTATCACGATTACTGTGGGTCTGTGTCTTATTGTAACCTAAGCTGTATATATAATTCTGAATTCTGATTGTTCTTAGGGGATGTTTGGTTGGTTTTTCAACAAGTCTTGTATGCATAAAGTTGTCTGTGTGGATCAATCTGTCTATATAAATTCGAAGGTTTTTGTTTGAGAGGGTTTTTTCATAGATGGAAGGAGCATGTTTTTTATTTGGGAGGGGGAGGTTTGGAAAAAATTTGGCTTTTTGCATAAAGCTCCCTTCTAAAAACTTACTGAGTAAGCCACTTTCTATATCACTAAGCCACTACCAAACAATCATGTTTAGCTGGCTGAATAAGCTGTGAGTCCCATTAAGCTCATTAAGCTGCTAACAAACAGGCTCTCAGTTGTTATACCTATATGGCCATTGGCTTAAAGATCAAGTTACCTCTTCTGCATTCATGTRTTCTGGTGCTTCATTTCCTTCACAAAATGTTTTTTTATGGATTATTTCTTTTATTCAACCTTTCCCAATCAATGCTTTTATGTGTACTACAGTGCATCAAAGAGAATCATGGGTGCAGCAGGTGTGCCACTTGTACCGGGGTATCATGGTCATGAACAAGATATTGATGTCATGAAATCAGAAGCAGAGAAGATCGGATACCCTGTTTTAATAAAGCCAACCCATGGAGGTGGAGGAAAGGTACCTTTCTAGTCTAAGATAATCATAATRGCTTAGCTCAAATCAGTTCATATAGTGATTCCTTGCTCACATGGGTACGTGTCTTTTCTGCAAAGGCTCACTGTTGCAATGGAAAACAACMATAAATCATTGCTGAGTCATGAGTTTATTAAATTTCTTTTTTCAAATAAAATATTCATATCATTTTGGTGTAATTGTTTGCTGAGTTTCAGGGTATGAGGATTGTGCAAAGTCCAAAAGAATTTGTTGACTCATTCTTAGGAGCACAACGTGAGGCTGCTGCTTCTTTTGGTGTAAACACAATTTTGTTGGAGAAATATATAACAAGGCCAAGGCATATAGAAGTCCAGGTAATCGTATTCGGTTACATGATACCTTCAGATTAATTTTTTAATTAGTTAAATGTAATAACTAGCAAGTAGGATCCAAGTGAAAGTTTATCATCCCTCTCGGTCACAGTTGTTAAAAGCGCGCCTAGGCTCTGATCATCAGGCTCAAGGTCTTGGGCTTTTTTGAAGTCGAGGCTCGGCGTATTCACAAGGCTCACTAAGGCCCTGCAACCTGGCTGAGGTGCCTTGTGGGCCTAGGCGCGCCTCATAAAGAGTGATTAAATACCAAGTCAAACCCCAATATTAAATAAGCTTTCTCATCTTCTTATCTTCTAGACGTCTTAAAGAAAGAGTTATTAAATAGATGACACAAGTCAAACTCTAATATTAAACACCCGGTTCTTATAACTTCAAGCCTCTGTTTCTATAAATAACTAGACCTTGAAACTTCTCCCTCATGGCTCACGCTTTAAACCCTTCTCCCTCATGGCTCAGGCTTTAAACCCTTCTCCCTTTTGCCTCTATCGAAGTACTGTTGGTTGCTGGTGGAGGCCTGTACTTGCTACATGTTTGAGTTGTATGTAACTGTGTATGTGTGTGTATATATAATTTTTATGCGCCTGACATTCCTGTGGCCCGCACCTCAAGCCTAGGGCCCGGGAACCCTTTGCGCCTAAGTGCACCTTGAGCCTTTAACAACTTTGTTTAGATGTGAAGATTATGACAAACTGGCTATCTAACCAAGTTACCATCTAAGCTTCATTTTCAACCTCATAATGACAGGTGTTTGGGGACAAGCAGGGCAACGTTGTCTACTTGTATGAGAGAGATTGCAGTGTGCAGAGAAGACACCAAAAGATAATCGAAGAAGCACCAGCTGTATAAATTCGTATTCATATTTAGGTTGATCTTATACTGTAATTCTTCTGTAAGTGTGACAAATTTCTCTTCTGCAGCCAGATATCATTAGCGACTTCCGATCCCGCTTGGGTCAAGCTGCTGTGTCTGCTGCCAAGGTAAGGACTAAGG